AAAGATACTGAGTGAAACACGTCTTACAATATCAAAACAAAATAAATACCATAAATAAAATTCAAATGTGAACAAATATACAACAGAACAGAATTATACTTTGTCTCTCCATATTTATTCAGTGAAACTGAATAATTTATGGCAACCTCAATATTACAGTTTGAGTGAGTTGTAACCATAACCTCACATTAAAAGTTTTTTTTTATTTAGTAGCAGCTAAAGCTCGATGCAAAAAATACATTTTGCCAACTTACTGACCTTGTGCCCTAATTCATACATTATAAAAATGTGTTTTATTTTTACATGAGCTATTATGCAAGAGTTTTAACCTTCTACAGATTAGTGCTTTCAAATTGATTAATCACATCTAACAGAGTTTGTAAATATTTGTGTGTGTGTGTATATACACTCACCGGCCACTTTATTAGGTACACCTGTCCAACTGCTCGTTAACACTTAATTTCTAAGCAGCCAACCACATGGCGGCAACTCAGTGCATTTAGGCATGTAGACATGGTCAAGACAATCTCCTGCAGTTCAAACCGAGCATCAGTATGGGGAAGAAAGGTGATTTGAGTGACTTTGAACGTGGCATGATTGTTGGTGCCAGAAGGGCTGGTCTGAGTATTTCAGAAACTGCTAATCTACTGGGATTTTCACGCACAACCATCTCTAGGGTTTACAGAGAATGGTCCGAAAAAGAAAAAACATCCAGTGAGCGGCAGTTCTGTGGGCGGAAATGCCTTGTTGATGCCAGAGGTCAGAGGAGAATGGCCAGACTGGTTCGAGCTGATAGAAGGGCAACAGTGACTGAAATAACCACTCGTTACAACCGAGGTATGCAGCAAAGCATTTGTGAAGCCACAACACGCACAACCTTGAGGCGGATGGGCTACAACAGCAGAAGACTCCACCGGGTACCACTCATCTCCACTACAAATAGGAAAAAGAGGCTACAATTTGCAAGAGCTCACCAAAATTGAACAGTTGAAGACTGGAAAAATGTTGCCTGGTCTGATGAGTCTCGATTTCTGTTGAGACATTCAGATGTTAGAGTCAGAATTTGGCGTAAACAGAATGAGAACATGGAACCATCATGCCTTGTTACCACTGTGCAGGCTGGTGGTGGTGGTGTAATGGTGTGGGGGATGTTTTCCTGGCACACTTTAGGCCCCTTAGTGCCAATTGGGCATCGTTTAAATGCCACGGCCTACCTGAGCATTGTTTCTGACCATGTCCATCCCTTTATGGCCACCATGTACCCATCCTCTGATGGCTACTTCCACCATGTCACAAAGCTCTAATCATTTCAAATTGGTTTCTTGAACATGACAATGAGTTCACTGTACTAAAATGGCCTCCACAGTCACCAGATCTCAACCCAATAGAGCATCTTTGGGATGTGGTGGAACGGGAGATTCGCATCATGGATGTGCAGCCGACAAATCTGCGGCAACTGTGTGATGCCATCATGTCAATATGGACCAAACTCCCTGAGGAATGCTTCCAGCACCTTGTTGAATCTATGCCACGAAGAATTGAGGCAGTTCTGAAGGCAAAAGGGGGTCCAACCCGTTACTAGCATGGGGTACCTAATAAAGTGGCCGGTGAGTGTATATATATATATATATTTAATATGACTAAATATTAAGTTATGCAATAGTTGATTAGGCTACTAATGATTACTAAGCAAAGGTTTTCTAAGGGTATAGTGTAATATTCTAACTATTAGGATACTGGATTGACAAGGAAAGTTTTGTAAACACATGTAAGTGAAGGTGACAACGGCTATTTAAATGAAACTTCTGTCACCATCAACTGTTTTTGTTCATACTATGGGTGTGTCTCAATCCGCTCCCCAGCTTCCAAGGCCCTGAATCAATATTGTACATGAATTTAGGCACTGTAAGGACAGTAAGGACCCTGGCTCACTACACATTAGGACACCGATGATTCTGTTTCCGGCGACACGACAATGTCCTCATTGTACAGAATAACTACTGGTATTTATGAACAACAGCAGCAATGACCTCTTTCTGACATGTTTTAATGTAATTTAAAGTACAGTATGATAAAAACTTTACTTGTTACCTATATACGTGCAACATTTCAGCTGTAAATAAATGATAAATGTTAGCTAGATTATGTTCATTAACTCTAGCAATGTATGTTTATGCTGAAATATGATTAAGTAATGGTTTGTATTTAAAAAAAAACTCTATCGTGTGTCGGTAAGGGGCAGTCGTGGCCTAATGGTTAGAGAGTCAGAATGGTAACACGAAGGTTCCCTTAGGTTCCCTAACCCCCAATCGCTCCCCGGGCGCCGCAGTGAATGGCCTCCCACTGCTCCGGGTGTGTGTGTGTTCACGGTTTGCAGTGTGTGTGTGTGTTCACTACTCCTAATTTAACTTGGATGGGTTAAATGCAGCGGCAGATGGCTTCGCATGTCACATGTTATGTGCAGTGAGTTTGCTCACGTGACTTATGTTTCGCACTTCAGAACTTACGTTAAGGGAACGTGTGCATCGATGCTCCCTGGTTTTCACGGTGCATCACGGGACTTTTTAGGGAGCGAACGGTCAGATTTTGCGATTGAGACAGGCCTTAAAATGGCCGACTCTCTGATCAGTGCCCTGACTGAGCTGATTGAGACACCCAATGGCAGTCAATGGGGTCCAGTATTGCTTTGGATCCCATTGACTTTTTCAGATGTTAATTACCGTAATGTTATACAAATGTCATTCACCTTTTATTGTTTTTTTATTGAAACTTTTATTCAGTATACACAATCTAGAAAGTAAATGACGACAGAATTTTTATTTTTTAGTTAACTATCATTTTAACACAGAAACATAGGGAAATGAGCACTATAGTTGTGTCATAGACAAGAGGAAAAAAAAAACCTGAAGAAAAACCTGAATTAGAAAAGACTTTTTTTTCTACTTTGTGTTTCTAAAATATATAAATGTGTGCGTGTCAAATAATTACATTCCTACGTATTATTCTTATTTTATTTTCCTTTTTATTGAATATTTTTATGATTATTAAATTATTATTTATTATTTTTAATTGTTTTATTTCTTAAACTGTTTTTTTAAAGCATAAATAGAACTGTTAAAATAAAGAATTTCACAAAAAATTGTAGCTTTAAAATGATAAATCAATAAATATACTGTGCAGAGTAAAGATAAAAAGTATTGTGACACTTTGTGGTTGCCAGACATCAGTGGATCATGTTGATAGTTCATGTGATTCTCTATACGTGTGGTCACTATAGGACACCTGTGGATTTGAGGGAAACTGACTTCATACACCCACTAAAAATCACCAAACACACACCATGGTTCAATTGCAAAATGACTATACAAGTGAAGTTAGTTTTAGCAGCATTTATTCGCAGATGCCACTCGGTTGATATTCTATATTTAATGCTAATCAACCATGAGAAAGTCTTATTGATGTGAAAAAATATATCACAAATATATCACCAATAGCACATTTATCATTGGACACCAGTTTACCTTTGAGTAAACTGAATCAAACCTGTTAGTAATTAAACTGACAAAATACAAAAGCCCTGTGGAGCGAGTGACAGAGAACTGCTTGCGTTACCAGTTCAATGGGAAGAACAATGTTATGCTAATTATGGTGGCAACGGTTCAGAGTTGTGAATGCATGTGAGGTGTTCGCTGTGTTACGAGGAGTTGTAATGTCCTTTCAGTGATACCTGTTACACTGAGTGTAGGCTACGACTTTTGTGTTTAAACAGACTTAAAACAAACACTAAAATCACATGGCCTAAATTAAATAATAATAAAAACTAAAAGTGATTCTCCAAATAGAAGAAATATCCCATCCAATATTCTGTCCCCTGGATGATTTAAAAAAAACAAAAACATTCTAGTTAAAAAAAAGAATGAAATTGATTTATTGTGTACTCTATTGTGCCTCTTATACTTTTACCAAATGTTTAAAAGTGTTGATTGAATCTGCCACAGTTCCTCTATATTTTGGGCATGTCTCATATCCAGACTTCCTTGTTTCGCTTTTAAATGTATATACTTTTCCCTTAAAATCGTTTAAAAGCTATTTTAATAATTATATGTACAATTTAATTAACTAAAACCATAGCAAATATTTACTGTCCACATAACTTTTGTCATTACCAACAATGTAAAAAAAAAAAAAATTCATGATTTGTTATCACAACATTTTTTTCTTTTTTTCAAATCAACTTAAATAACTAATGTGGTTCAGATAACGCAATATTTTGAGTTTCTGTGGATTAAACCAATCTCCTTCATTAACTCTTTTTTTAAGGCAACCAGGTTACTTACTTTTTAAAGTTAAACCAACAATAATTTAATTAGGTTATGATGTAAATAATAACTGACAGGAAATCACATCTCTTGAGAGTTTGAAGAACAGAAACGTCATTAATTTTATTTAGGCTATTTTTAATTTTAATTATACGAGTAGGCTATGCTTAGTTGTCATTACCAAAGCTGCTTATTAATGAAGTATTTTTGAAATTTGATTCAGAAATTTATTTATTTGTTTACTTGTTTGTCAAAAAAAATAATTAGCTGCTAAGGCACTTGTTGTGTTAGCAATTCCATCACCCCCTCGACATCATTACCATAACACAACAATATCAAAAACCCACAACAGCAGATATTAAAAGCTACTTAAGAAGAGCAAGGCCTGTTTTTATTCCAGGACAAATACAATGTTTAACAAATAAACTTTAAAGAAGTTTTTTCCCCCCAGATTTAAAGTAGTTAAAAGTTTCCCTAATTGTAGAATCACTCATAAATAAATTAAAATATAGAATACAAATTATTAAAATATAATTTAGGAAGGGTATTTGGATTAAAACTTTTTTTTTAAATTCCCCATAAATTCGCTGTCTTAATCGCCAAATACAAGACTCCTTCGGCTTAAATTTGGGTTTGGAATCGCTGCATTTGCAACGCTTTTATGTGGGTGTGTGAAATTAAAAACGGCTCGTTAATTTCCTCAGTTAGTGGCACGGGTTGTGGGGGGTCATATGTAAAGCACCAACCCGGCGACAACATCGGGTGCCACATTTTGGTGGTCTCGAACATCCATTGCACCTTTGCGCAACAGCCGCTTCTCCGCCGAGAGGTCCTCGCGTGCACAAAGGCAGCTTCCGAGAGGGCAGCGTCAGCGCGAGAGGCGAGAGAAACCACCTCCGGACCGCGTCCGACCATCCCAACTCGAAATCCAGCGTCGTTTTTCCAAAAGGTAAGAACTCTGCGAACACATCTCGGTTGATTTCAACCGCGGGAGTTGCCCACTCGGGCCCGGAATCGTACAGCGGACCAGTGTCGTTTCCTATCCTGCGCGAGCGTGGTTGTTCTCAACAGAAAATGGCGTCACCGTTCGTGCTGGCTGTGCAACCGGGGAAAACGCACTTGTTCTGAGCGCTTAAATTAGAGCGAGAGTTGATTCGGACTCGCCACGACTGCCCGCAGAGATAGAGCAAGTCCACGGGCCTACTTGGGGAGTGAATATGGCACTTCATAACAAAACACCGAAGAGGAGAGGACGCGCAAAGGCGGAAGGGTCACCAGACCTGTGCGCCAAAGCGGCTTCGGGAAGATGGCACAGCGCCGCAAAGCGCAGCACTTTATCATTCGGACGTGCCTTGTAATCGTGTAAATCCGCTCGAATGTGCTCGGTTTGTCACTGTTTGAGGACGCGATTGTATATTGTGGTAGGTTTGTGTTCGGAAAGCACAGCAAGTTAGTGGAAACGTCGTCTTTTGTATCAGCCTCTCGCGTCAGCCCGCCTTTACGCCGCACTCGCTCCCTGGTAAGCATCAATCCTTCTTTAAAGCTCCATTCTGCACATGGGCTCTCCTTCTCCATCAAGTTAATCTGGCCCATTGTGGTCCGCAATAGAGGAGATTTGGCCTGACAATGTAACCGTGTAAAAGAGATTTACAGAATAATGGAGCGATGCAAATTGCCTCACGAAAACGCTAAATAGCCTGAATATCTGACAAAACACGGCGATGTAACCTGCGCTTACATTTTTAAACAGTTTGGCTAAATGAAGTGTGAATGCGCCACGACGTGTCTAAATTGCGCATAGAGGGGAACGCAAACCCAGGCTATTCCAACAGGTTTTTGAACCACAAGAACAGGCACGAATAACGCAAACACACAGTTTCCGATGTTATCTGAGGGATAGTCTCGGATACATTCTCTGTTTTGCTGGTCAGATGCCTCTTTTTAGCCACTGTGGACTTGGTGATGCTCGTGCAGCCAATGGCTTCGCGCGTTCCCGCACACATGCATCCAAAATCTCCCATCATAAGTCAGCCAAACGTTTGAATTGATGCTAATATGCCTCTCCTCGTCATCCAGACGTTCCTGTGGGATATTTTTTGCTGATATTTGGAGAGTGTCACTGCTAAATTTGGGTATCAACTTTTTACGTTGTTCACATTTGGCCCCTTGTGGCCCCAATGTGTTTTGATGCGTGCTAGTGTGAATGTGAGTTTGTTTCTAAAGATGGTATGTGCATTTTTGTAGTCTAAAAGTGCGAGTTTATTATTTAACTATATGTTGATGCATCGATCTGTGAAATCGTGATATGATGTTTTTGTCTGCTCGCGAGCCTATACGTGACCCAGTGGTTCTAAACTAGCATAAGATGTTTTGATTTTTAGAGTTTATTTAAAGCATAATTTGATAGTGATTTCAATGACTAGAGTGCGTGTAACGTTAATCTCAATGCTTCAGGATGGACGGGCAAAGATAGTGTGTCTATTATTTTAAATTATTATTATTTTTTCCGGTCACGTGGCCAAATGTCTCTGATGCTTTTGGGTGGTGATGGTCATTTCAACACGTTCTCGGTTGTTTCTCGCACGCGGATATTACGGTTTAGTTTTTATTGGTATTCCGTACAAGTTCCATTGTTATGAAGTTTGCAAAGTACTAACTCAGACACGAGCACACCTTGAAACTAAGATGTGCACGCGTCTTATTGATTTGCGACCCACAAAACGACTCGTACCGAACACATGTGCCTTCCATCAGCCGAATTGCGCTATATTAAAGCATGCTGTGTTTGATTATGAAGCATAATCATGTTCGTTTGTGCAGTTGGCCACGGACACGTGTTCTCTCGTGCAGCGTTCGCGACTTCCTGCCTCGCGAATGTTTGGGTCAGGTGTATGTCCTTCACATTCACAACATGACTTAAGATTTCATTTGCGCTAGAAGAACACTTTGGAAACGAGTTACATAAAACAACGGGTAGTACATACCGAAGCACATCAATAAACATTTACCATAGTACCATGGTTTACCATAGTTAGCGCCCAAATACCACAGTTACAGCTGCTACTTACAGTTAAGCCTATGAAGAGAGAGTTTACATGAAAAGTCAAGCACTTATCATGCCACAAGACAATTTTAGTGAACTGCAATGAAGAACAAAGGATGTATAAATATGAAACGTATAGCCTACATATGTTAAGCTAAAATCTGTTAAATAGTACAATAAATTAATGTTGTTTGTCATTGCCTAAAATCATTAGCTACATTTTATGGGTTCTCAGAGGCTCTTTTATGACCTTTTTAACCAATTTACCAGTTTTACTGTAGTAACATAATGTAGTAAGTTACTATTTTGTATTTTGGCACAAATATTGAACATTATACATTTTTGTGAGTGCAGCGGATGCTAAAATTTAGATTTTTTGAGTTATTTCTGCTCTGTATAGCTGTCGGTTTCTACTTTTAGGAATCTAAAAAATGTATGTTTTGTAAAAGTTTCAGTAATCTACATTTCATATATCAGTTTAAATTTAGATTAATTTGACTAAAATGCACAAGTCCATGTGGACATGGTTTTGTAAAAGGGGCTTTAAGGCAATATATTGATATTTAAAAGCTCTGTGATCAAGAATGAAATCTCATTTTAGTTTGTCCTGTTGTCTCACATTATTCTTTCCATTACATCTGTGCAATTATGATGTTTGTTTGATGCACGGCAGACATTTACATAATTCATATTGTTTTGTCATTTTTAGCACATAACCGTTATCCCTCATATTGACATTTATTTCCTTGGTAAATAATCACGCGATCATCACAGCGACAGTAATGTCTGTTTGTCCTTGTAAATACCTTTATAATTTATATCTGATTTTTGAATTTTAACTTGTGCTACTATATGCTACTGCTGGAGAACTTGCCATTTTGAGAGACATGTGGGAATAAAGTAATTTCTCCATCAAAAGCATTCAAAAGAAATAGCTCCACTGATTAACTTTTTGATTTGTCTTTTAAGTTCATAAAGGATGGAGGCTACTAACAGTGAAGATCAGGGAAGCCTGACGAGTGATAAATGCTGCCAGACTGAGACACTTCAGGACTGCAGTTGCCAAACAACAGAAACCCCTCAAGAGCCTTGTGGCAAAAATCCAGGTAGGAACTCACTCAGCACCTTAACGTCAACATGAAATCAAAACTGACCCTGTTTCCTTTTTAAAAACACATTCCTGCCCTCATTGTGCACGATTTGTCAGTGCAAGTTAATCCAAAGTGGAAAAATGTTTTCCTTTTAGGCTGACGTTAAAAATCGCTCTTATTTTTGGCTGCATTTTGGTATGCAACGCCCACTTTCCAATATCCAATCAATTCCAAATGTTTAAAATCAACTACCGCCTACATTTTTTCTTGTTGAATCCTGTTGCATTCAGAAATGCATCACATTACAGGAGTAAAATTAGCTGAGAAGTCTGGTTTCATGTAGACTTCATGTATTTTACAAGAATTTTATTGATAAATCGAGGTTGTGTTATTCCCTTGTGGTGATATCTGTGCATAATCAAAGTTAGTTTGGATGGACTCACACATGCATTGTGAAATCAAGATTTATGCCTTCTCTATGCATGCATTAATTGCAAAGATCTATCAATGTAGTTCGATTTAAATGCAATGTCTTGTGGCGACTTGGTTGTTAATGTAGAACAATCACATTCCAATGTGTTTCTCACATATTTCCATAATTATCAATGCTGGAATAAGATTTCTAGCTCGGCGGGTTGTTACGTGTGTTCTACAGTGGTGCTAATTTCAGTGACCTGGAGTTGTTGTCTTTAAAGTAATTTATGACCATAAATAAAGACATGGGGCCCTATTTTAACGATCTAAAACGCAAGTGTCAAGCGCAAAGCGCAAGTAACTTTGTGGGCGGGTCTTGAACGCTGTTGCTATATTCCCGGCGGGATAAATGACTCTTGCGCCAGGCGCAAATCTAAAAGGGGTTGGTCTGAAGTAGCTTCATTATTCATAGGTGTGGTTTGGGCGTAACGTGAAATAAACCAATCAGAGCGTCATCTCACATTCCCTTTAAGAGCAGATGCGCTTGTTCTACAGCGGATTCATATTATAACGGCGGATTTGCCAGGCGCGCGCCAGGAGCGGTTCACAGCCGAGGAGAGCAACGTTCTCGTCAGGGCCGTAAAACACAGAGAAGTGACACTGGGGATGGAGAAACCCACCCAAATTAACTTCTGTTAAACAGGCGTATGATAATTTGGGTAAATGTGAAAGCTACATGTATGCTTTTATAATAAATTATCTATCTATCTATCTATCTATCTATCTATCTATCTATCTATCTATCTATCTATCTATCTATCTATCTATCTATCTATCTATCTATCTATCTATCTATCTATCTATCTATCTATCTATCTATCGTAATAATGTATGATTTGCAAAAATGAAAACTGCTGCATAGATGAGAGAATCAAAGTGTATGCGCGTTGTGCACATGCTACATTGATTATGGCCAAGCATGCGCCCTTAAAATAGCATAATGAACAACGCGCAACGCGCCACTGACTTTAGACTAGTTTTTTTCTGGTCAGTGGCGCAATTGTTTTATGGAACAGCAAAAGAGCAAAAGGGATTGTTTGCGCCGGAACATGCCTCCTTTTTTGCGCTGAACCGCCCAGGGAGCGCAAGTTCATTTCCTAGTTTAGCGACGTGTGTCTGTGGAGGGAAAATCACGGTTTGCGTCGGTGTACAAAGTCAATTGCGCTGGGTGCAAGATAGGGCCCATGGTGTTTTGAGGCAGATAGAGTCACGTATACTGGCTGAAAGTGAGATACACAGTCCAATCTTTCCCGTTGAAAAGAATCAGGATGGCCTTTTAATGCAAAAATAATTGTTTTAGCAAGCAGCTTATAAAAATATTTAATACACAAGGCAAGGCAAGTTTATTTATATAGAACATGTCATACAATATGGCAATTCAAAGTACTTTACACAGAAAGGAATTAAAATAATCACAAAATAAAAGCAAGGGAAATTAAAACAGTTATAAAAGGGATTAAAAGAGATATACGATAAAGTTATAAAATGAATTAAGAGTAAAAAGATGATACATAGATTAACTTCTCATCTGGTAAAACACAGGTGTATCATATTTATTCACAATTGCCCCTCTTAATATTCATTCTGGATACAGAGATGTTGATTTGATGTTTAAACACAAGTTATGAATAAATGGCTTTTTTCAATGTTGAAAAAAAAAGTCAAATATTTTAGAAGCAAATGTTGTCTATACGTTTAACATTTTATTTTATTTAAAGGTACGCTAAGTAACTTTTGGCCCTCTAGCGGTTAAAAAAACTAGATGCATTTTGCGGAAGAACATTGTTATGGTTGTGCTTCGGCTCTGCGTGACTACACGGACGAATATGGTTATCCTACTGCTCATAAAATATGCACTACTTGTTTTAAGAGGCTTAAGAGATATAACCAGTTTAGATGTAAAGGATCTCAAGCTAAGTAGCTGAAGACGTTACTGTCGCTATACCCATTAATAGACACGGTACTTCCTTAAAGATCAATTCCAGCACAACAACAACCATAATGAAGGGACCCTTCACAATAGATAATGATTTACAATAAACTCTGTTAGAGGGCCACAGATGGCTATTTATCTTTTCAATAAAATACCTTACTCGACCTATTGAGTTATAAAAACGCCATTTCTACTTTTTACAACATTTCAAATCCCTCAGTTCTTGCCATCTCCGGGAAGCCAAGCCAATGTTGATTCTGGTTTTATTACGTTCTCTTTTTTGCCAGCAGACTCTCCTCTGTTCGGCATTTCTTTAAAACAATGACTCCCCGCAGGTTCGAGATTTACCTGCTCCATGTCAACCTTTCTCGCTCTTTGTGACAACTAACCTTTCCCACTCCCATACTCTCGTCAAACTTTTCTCTATTTATGGATATGAGGAGATGTATGTACGCAATTTCCTGTGAAAGCTATTCGACCCGTCTAAAAATAAACACTTATAAGAGGCTTACCATAGTGAATCAGGGTAGGACAAAAACACTTTTTGGAAGAAGGATTGATGTAATTGACTCATTATTTAAATTTTGAACAAAAATGTAAACCTGCATTTACTAACTTTTTAAGTTTCCACTTTGACAAAACTATATTATAGTACAATAACCCTGCTAATGCACTGTGAAATGTGCAGCGTATTTTAATACATTTAAAGGAAAAAAGTATGTTAGCAAACTGTAGGCAGATGGTTTTAAATAGTCCAAGTAATGTAATATTCTCATGAGTTCTCGTAGTTAATGTAATGTGCGCCATAACTTTCAGACACCTGGTATCAGATGAGAAGGTGTAACTTACACATCATCAAAAGTCCCTGCAGATTTTACCAGGTGACTCTCAGTTGGTAGACATCCATGAGAAGAAAATAACAGAAAGTCGAAATCACTACTAACAATAAAGAGTTGCCTTAAGGAACAATGATAGAGTCTTGCAGGTGTACAAAAGAATGATGAGAGTGTTGCAAGCCAAAAGATGCTTATGTCCGTGGGGAAATAGATCAACTATTTTATTTGTCCTGGCCTCGGCTATGGCCTCACTTCCCTCCAGTCTTTGTTGGACTCGTCTCTGATAACTAAACACTGAGTAGTTTCATCTAGACAGGGTTTTTTTAAAGACAGACTCTCGGCTGGTTTATTTGAAAGCTTAAAGGAAAGATGCCATACATAGATTCATTGATGTTATTTATTTAGGAATTATACACAGGTAGTATTGAAAAAATAGAAACTAATAGAATAGACGATTCTATTTCCCGCCAACCCTCCAAATTTTATGTATAATATATCTATTTTTTCAAATGTAGTCTTTTAAAAAGGCATCTGAAAAAATAAACGATTAATTTTCTATAAATGTCGTTACTGAAATATATGAAATGCTTCGAATACTCATTTTCCGCAGAATAGATACACGATACCAGCTGTGCTTTCTCGCTCTCTCATCTATCCGACAGCGAGTTCCGCACAAACCCGCCTCCCCTCACTCACTTACTCGTTTCAATTGTTCATATTGTTGCTGTTACAGGGCTTGAAATTCGGCGTGGGATTTTGCATATTGTGCATAATTTTACTAATTCACGCAGATTTTGTGCTCACACACAAACTGCGCGAACATAAAACCACCTATCGGTACTAAATTTAGTTCTTTTTTTGCTGCTTAAACAGTCAAATACACACAAAATAATGTCCATCGTCGTGTATTCGCGAGTATTCTCGTAAACACAGTCAATTATGTTTTAAGTGAACATTAACAGTTGAGAAAGAAAACGCATGTGTTGCAGTATATTGGATCCGTGCGTCAGGTCTTAAAGTGACAGAAGCCTAATACACCTGCTGCCAAATTATAAGATAATATTAAAAATATCTATATGGCAGTTTTCTCCATGGTATCAATGTCAAAATTGTGGCCAGTGAAAATGCTGAGTGGCTCGTAACTTTGGAAAACCACTGGCCACAGTGGCTGGTGAGCAAAAAAGTTGTCAAGCTCTGATAACAATTCTTATTTTTCTTGAACATTTGCATTAATCATAATAAGAATACAATTATACAAGCAGTGAGTTCATTCCTATAATTATTATCTATGGTCTGTTTGTATGTAGTCCATCCTCCTGTCATGCACTAAAGTTGGCATCATGTGTAGGTGAGCAAAGACACATGTGGGATTAGAAATACATATGGCTTTTATTCAAATTAAAATGCAAATGAAAGGCAGAAATGGATCCAGGAATGAATTGTGAAGTTCATAGGGTGTGCAGTTCAGGCTGTGCAGGAGGGTCGGTAGTTCCATGGGCACATGAGCAGGCAGTCACCGGCTTTTTGTTTGAATTAGCTGTAAACCAGGTACCATTGGGTGTCTTGCCACACCCTTACCCCTTAGTCCCTACAACAGATTTAAACCATTTACTGTCCCCATACCTGAATGATGGAACTCCAACAGAAGACTTTTGTGAAAACATGTTTTACATTAAGTATAATCTAAAATGTTCCTTTCACTGTTTTCTGTTTTAGTACATTCGATTGAGCCTGGTGATCCACCCCTGCTTCAAAAGCAGCTCCAGACATCCAAGTCAGGAATTCTTCAAATCATTGAGTGTTTTCGCTCAGGTACTTCAATCCCAGAACTTTGATCATTCAGTAAATGCATGTCATGAAGGCCTCTTTTATTCACCAGACACAACACATTTGGCCATTACCAAGACATTGTCTGTCCTTACTGAAAGTAAATTGCTATACAACGAAACAAAGTTGAAACCTATGTTGAGTGAGATTTTGAACAATGAGATTTCCCTCTAATAGTTTTCTTACATGAATGTATGTTTCCTTATTGCCTAAGGATAATTGCTTGCTTTCAACATGTGCTGTTATTGCAGGTACAACTCAACTCAAACACATGCTGTTGAAGGAGGTTGACACCATATTTGAGTGCAAAATCTGTCGAAGTCTGTTCCGTGGTCTACCGAATCTGGTCACTCACAAGGAGCTCTACTGCTTTTCCCGACAACCTCAGTCAGATGGTTTGTACATCCATTTAAGTGCTCTGACTTTTAAAGTGTTTCAAAGCCTGTATGACTTGATTTTTTTTTCTGCAGAACACAAAAGGAATATATTTTGAAAAATGCTTCATCAACAGTTCAAAGTCAATTGGAGTCCAAACACATTGCACTCCATTAACTTTCTTTGTATGGACAAAACATTAATTTTCAAAATATCTTCTTTTTGTGTTCCACAAAAGGAAGAAATGTGAAAACACTCAATCAACTACATAGCAATGCCCTAGTAACCGGTTGGCAGTAGCCTGATTGAGTTCTGCATGGGCAAGCACCATTCATGTTTTCTTCAAAAGATGTACTTCAAATTGTTGCAATTGGGACCATGATTATAATAGTATTTATTAATTAGATTAATATTTTGTGATGTTACTACTTTCTGCAGAGCCTTCACAAGGTGGGCAGAGCCAAGCCATCAAAGAACTTCTTCAAGCCATCTATCCACAGAAAGAACAAGAAAAACATGTAATTGAGCTGGAAGCCATTGAGACCAACCCCAATGCAGTGTTTCAACACGTGGCAGTAGTGGAAATTCAGGACACGCCAGAAACCCCAGCCCCTACCCCCGAGACCGTGATCCCAATACCTGAGAAGAAAAATCGCCGCAAATCTATTTTGGCACCCAAAAAGGTCCAGCAGTCAGATTTTGAGGACGAGATGGAAACTGAACCTGAAGAACCACCTGCTAAAGAAGGTCAGAGCTGTGAAGAGCAAATAAAGATTGAGCCAGTAGTAGGGGAGGAAGAAGAAGAGGAGAGTGCCGCCTCTGAGATAAAGGAGATGAGGATCTCTTGCTGTCTCTGTGGAAAAGACTTCAGCTCCAGACGCAGCGTGCGACGCCACTGCCGAAAAATGCATTGGCAGAGGATGGAGGAGTTGCGCAAATTTACAGAGACGCGCACCGTTCCCACCAGCCTGCTGTCTATGGTGAAGGACAAGCATCCTGCTGAACCACCACCTTCTCCAGGGAAGAGCTGCCCAGTGTGCAAAAAGTCCTTTGCCACCAAGGCCAATGTTCGTCGCCACTTCGACGAGGTCCACCGTGGCTTAAAGCGGGATTTGATCACACCGGAAATTGCCACAAGACCAGGCCAGCCTCTTTTACTTGAAACTCAACCTCCTTCTCCAGCGAAAGCTCCAAGCTCTCCAATCAAGCAAGAAAAGGCACAGTACAACCTGACAAATTGTCGCTGCAAGCTGTGCAAACGCAAGTACAGCTCCCAACTAATGCTTAGGCGGCACATGCGAATCGTTCATAAGATACCAATTCTAGAAAACAGCTCTCAGAAGGCCAAATCGAAGCACGAGAGAAAAGATAAGGTTTATGCAAAGAAAGTGTCTCTTTCAAGAGCTTCAGAGGAAGAGGGAAACCACGGTGTGAGTTTTGACTTTAAGAGGATCTACTGCTGGTTGTGTAAACGCCAGTTCAGTACTAGTCAGAACCTGGGCAAGCATATTTCCGAGCTGCACACCGATGGAAACGATAGCATCTACATAAAGTTTTACCGCTGCCCCATCTGCAGATACGAGTCACGCCGGAAGCGGGATGTCATCCGCCATATCACAGTGGTTCACAAGAAGTCGTCACGCTATCTGGCTAAGGTTATGCCTGCCTTGGAGAACCAGGCTGTGAAGAAACCAGCTGATGCAATCTTGAACAACTCAAACAAGAAACCAAATTCGAAAGAAGAGGGTAACGGGAAGCATAAAACGCAAGACCCACCAGCTTCCCCTAACAGTCGTCAACAAGATCCTCTCATGTCACCCAAAACAAAGAAACAAGAATCCCCAACATCCCCCAACACTCGAAAGCATTCTGCGCTCACGTCGCTTAACACAGGCAAACTCGAGTCTCCGCTCACACCAAATAGACAAGACAAGAACCTTCAAGCTACCAAGAACCCGCATGTCACTCGCAGTCATAATGTTACCAAGGGTGCACCCATCACCAGAAGCCAGGAGACCTGCACTGAGGTTAGGGTAACTAAAAACTTTTCCCTCCACGCATGCGATATGTGTGGCCGGGCATTTGCCAAAAAGGTCTACCTTGAGACTCATAGGCGGAGACACAGGACTGCCATCGCAAGTGGGGACAAATTACAAGGAAGAAGCACTCGATCAAAGGCCCTCATTTGGTAGGTTCCTTCTTTGTTATGCCATTTATTCAACAAGCACATTAAGATGCTTGCCTTAAAGCCCTAACCCTAAGCATTAGACTTCAGGCTGTAACTCGTTATGGACAAGAATGGTATCTCAAATTGAGCGGTCTTTCAAGGTGTGATGTTACCTTTCTAAGCAATTAGACTTGAAAATTCTCCAGACATTAAAAAAATTGGGGGGGATTCCCATAGATTACTTTGAAAAAGGAACATATCTAGGGACCAGAATGTCATAGAGAATTGGGGTTTGGGTTTTTTGTCTGGGACCAGTAAGTTACCTCCTAGCAAATACTGAGTAATTACCTAGAACACCCTAGCACGGGGTGTCCAATCCTGCTCCTGGAGGGCTAATATTTAGCTCCAGCCAGCCCCAACACACTTCCTTGGAAGTTTCTAGAATTCCCGAAGTCCTTGATTGGCTGGTTCAGGTGTGTATTTATGATCGGGGCTAAACTCTGCAGGATAGTGACCCTACAGGAGCAGAAATGGACACGTCTGCCTTAGTGCAATAGCGGCGAGTTTTGTAAAAATGTAGTTCAAAATGCTGTCGATAACAAGTTACAGAGTACTACCATAGCATGTAAATAACACTGTATAATACTTAATAAATATGTTATACAGCCATCTTTGGTTAGCCTGGGAATACCCAGACAACTTCCGGCAAATTTAGATTTGCTCTGAAAGTTAGTCTGGCAAAGAGCTCATTCAAGCCCATTTCCAATCCGTCGAAATCGCGGCACCAATCAGAAACGTTGGGGCGGGCTTTACACGATGACGACAGCGCTGGGATTTTGAAGCAGATTTTGTAGCCTACATTACAAAGATGGATGCCGCCGTCGAACATCACTCGTTCGAATCAGCTATCGCGTCTGTTTTAAGCGATTTGAACGTTTCCTTTTAGTTAAAAACTGAGCAAAGAACAACACTCGGAGATGTTTTTTCGCCGCTCTGCATACGTCATCTCCTTCATCGCTCTGATTGGTTTAGGTCTATCCGCGACGTCCGTTGGTGACGCCCCTCTGGAAATGATTTGTCTATGACACTTTGCCAGACCATAACTCCGTTACAACTGAGAATGGTCTGGTTTTAACCAGGCTAATCTTTGGTACTCTTAAGAACGCACTACTTAGTGTACAAAAAATAGTGATCTTAGACTGTTGAATAAGATGAAAGACTTTCCTAGACTGTCTATTAATCTGTCTATGCACATTTGGTTTAATTTTGTTATCCAAGCCTCTGTGCATATTTTTTCCCTCATCACATGCTCAGACAAATAATCTAAGGTCACTGTAATAGGAATTGCTCTCTAATTTGAATGCATGGTGCAGACAGTATCAGAGAGGGATTCCCCATTGTCTGCTCTCTGTAATAGATATGTAGATGTGTTGAACTTTTACACGTTTTGACCTGACCTTTTAAACTTCCGGGGGCCTCCAGTGGTTTTGCCGAAAGAATAGCGATGCTCGAGAAGTTTTTGTAAATGTCCATTCCCTTAAAGTGATAGTTCACCTACAAATGGAAATTAATATAATTGGCTCAAAGTCTTGTTGTTCCTAACCGATAATTTGTTGAAATAAGAATGTAGAAGGAAGGAAAGTCGTACAGGTGTGGGGCGACATGACAGAACCTTCATTGTTACATGAACTATCCCTTTAACATTTTCGCACACTTTTCTCTTTTAAATCATTCCTATTATTCACTTTTGATAGTTATGTTGTTATATATTTAATGAGGAATGATTTGTTTGATTCTCTCTCACTTTTCCTTTCTCTTCTGTCCATTTAGACTTTTTTTTTTCAGAATACATAGCACATTTGCACTGGATTTCATGGATGGGTTTATCTCCATGCGAAAGAAGAGGAAGGAATATGGACAAACTTATGGGTAGAAAACAAACGATAACCTTTGTATAATGGGATTGAATGAGTCAAGAATGAAGTGCGCCCAAAATGTTGTTCCTGATTTTTACCCTAGAGGACGCTGTAGTAAAAGAAATGGTATCCGATCTTCATTTGATTTTGAATGAGTTTTGATTTATTGGTGTTGGCAAAATGTTTAAAGTAAACAACTCTCAAAATGAATTTCGATTAATTTGTCAACGGATTATACCACTATTTTTTTGTATTCTCAACAACAGTTTAAAAATACAGAAAGAATGTTTATAAATGGACAATGGACTGAGTGTAAAATACATAGGAGGTTGATCTGTATATGAACAGCATGTCTAACTAATGTTAAATATTCATAAGTAGATAAATTCATGTAACTCTGCTTCATATTTCCCTGCCATGTGTTCACCTCTCTAATCAACTATGGATTGAAATGCTGCTAATTTGTTAGAAATGTACTTATATTTCTTCTACCCTTTAAAGTCGAAGCCTATATATTAAGCTGCTCAGGATGCATCTTAAATGAGAGCCCACATTTTTTAACAGCTTAAACTATTTTGTCTTTAACAAAAGGTTGCAACTGTGACTAAAACGAAATAGATACTACTGGTAGCCTACTAAGTAGTTTGGTAGCCTACTAATAACTAAAGCTAATGAGAAATTAATTTTCAGTTTTCGTAGATGGCTCTGATCATTGCTTTCAAGTATAATGAAGCTTTTGAGCAAGTACAATTCCTTTTAGTTGGGGTGCATGCAGAATGCTTTGAAACATTTGTTTTTGTGTATAATAGAGCTTTTTTCCAAACGCTATAGATTTATTCTGATGCACACTCCTTTTTATTTGCAAAATCCTGGTATACCCTTGCTTGCAGTAGGATTTTTTTGTTCAAATAAAGATAATAAACACATTCTTTGTCAACTTTTTTATATACTACCCTTCCAATAAAAAAGGATTTTGATTGTTGTATTTAATGCCACCAGGATAGATAAATATATTCAGTAGACTATATACAGTACGGGTCAAAAGTTTGGAAACATTACTATTTTTAGTGTTTTTTAATGCTCATCAAGCCATACATTTATTTGTAAATAAAGAAAAAAACGGTAATGTGAAATTACAATTTAAAATAATGTATTAATTTTAATATACTTTAAAATATAATTTATTTCTGTGATGCAAAACTGAATTTTCATCAGCCATTACTTCATCAGAAAAACAGAATAAATTACTTGAAAATTTAAAATTAGTCACCTTATGCTCAAATGCTCATTAAAGGTTTAAGTAAATAAGAGAAATGACCTCAGGTGGTGTGAGACTCCTGCCAAGCATAAATAGCTCAGGTCACGTACGTACACCTCACTCCTCCTAAATGGAATTAGCCTACGTCAGCATGTTTGTGAGCTCAGCAATCCACACTTGAGTGAGCGCGAAACTCAAACACTCTCTTTCTACGCATTATCACGGAAGCGAACTATAAAGCGAACTTGTATAGATCAGGAAAGGTAGGCCTAGGTTTTTTTTTGCCGAGACACAATATAGGCAAGTGTAAATAGCCCATGAGACCAGGAAAACAACAACAAAAAAAATCAATAAAATTAAACTTTGAACAGGCCAGTATCTCTATAGGCTGTATACACTGGAAAGGAATATTGCCCTTTATTGCTGTCAAAACCAACTTTCTGTTTACATATGATTCATTCCTACTATGCAGTGCATTTTCATGCATCAGGAGACCGAGGTCACATTTTTCCACTCTAGTGAATATTTTTCAGGGGTAGCAGGTTCATTTATTGTTATTTTTTTGTATAGACATATTTAAAGAATGACAGTTAACGTCAGTTGAAAAGTTGAAGATGCAGTGTTGTTTCAGGGTTGTCTACATTTTATTTTATAATTTATTAACAATGTGAAATAGCCTTTAGTTTTGCTTTAGTTTTTTAATAGCCTATTTCTAAAGCTTTAATTTATTTTTATTTCAGTTATAGTTGTATTAATTTTAGTAGCCTAATTTATTTCAGTTAGTTGCCAATGTAACATCTCTAAAATGTTTTTTTAAACTTTACGTTTTTCATCTAATAGCCAACTTTTATTTTATTTCAACTTTATTTTCAAAAACATTTTTAATAGGCTACTTTTAATTTTAACAACAACAATGCCTAGCCTACTGCACAACAGGAATTCTCCGTGTAAGTCCACAGTGTTCACACTAGATGGAGCAAAAAGATCATTCACAGCAGTGACTGTTGAACAGCTTGATCTCTTCAAACGAGTTGTCAAGCCACACTGAACTGCTATTTCTACAGTTTTGCATTGGTCAGTCTGAAGAGCAAAACATATTTTTACAAATATCATATAGGCTAGCACCGCGCGAACCTTAAAAATAACAAATGCGCGTTACTTAAATGTCATAGTGTTTAAGGGGTTTCTAAAAAAAAAAAATATATATATATATATATATTTTCCTTAAACTTGCACCATTCGCACAATATTGACTCCAGTTTCCCTCGATGTGGCCCGGGGCGAAGAAAGCGTCCAAATTGTCAGACCAATCATAACGGAGTGGGAGTATTTGCGCGAGAAATGATGCGCTCGTGCGCTCTGTGTGCCTCTCGCGCGCTGTCCCTCCCAGCAGCATCAAAGCAGCAGCGATCAGCGCGCGACCACAGCTCAGGCACCTGCAGGTATGAATGGATTCAAAATGTTATTTCTTTAAATCTGCCAAAGCAATAGAGTGAGTTATGCTGTTCTGTAGCCTAATATGGCATTTTCTATGTGTTTAATTGTTGCAGTGCTGTTTTGGTGCAACTATGATGTGCTGAAATGTTTCGTGGTGATGCTGATTGCATTTAATCTATAGCCATTATTATAGATGAGAAAGACTGACAGTATGTTTTTCTGCCGTTTAAAAGTTTCATGCAGTACCAACCGTATATGCGCAAAGCTTTTTTTCATTCCTAAAGAGGGTCGCTGACATCATGCCTTTTTAATGAGTTCTAATGCAACAATGTTGACCGTGTGCTCTATTCGTTCACATTTATTAACTAATAATAATAATTATACTTGATAGGGTTGAATGTATTAACCATACATTGTGCAGTAGATTTTGGCTACTTAAAGAGACAGTTCACTCATAAAAAAAGAACATTCTCATACTCACCCTCATGTTATTTCAAACCTGTATGACTTTTTTTCTTCTGCTGTGGAGCACA